GTGTTTGCGGGGCCGTGCGTGCGTGGAGGGGAGCGGGGAGCGGGGCAGGGGCTGCGTTCCGTGCTCTCGGGCTCTCTGGGCTCTCTGGGCTCTCTGGGCTCTCTGGGCTCTCTGGGCTCTCTGGGCTCTCGGGCTCTCTGGGCTGCACCCGCTCGCCCTCTCCTGTCCCCGGCCGTCCCTCCGCGTGTGACGCTGGGGGCCCGGGCAACAGGTTGGGCTGCGGGGAGTGCGGGCAGCGCTCGGGGCGCGGGGAGCGGCTCGGCACGTCCCGCCTGCCGGTCTCCCCTTCCTCAGTGGGGCTGGAGTGATTTGCATCCTCTCCGCTCATCGCTGGGGGAGGCAGGAGAGCCGTCTGACAGGCAGTGGGAACCTGTGGAGTCAGGGCAGAACTTCGGTCCGGCACAGGAGACTTGCCCAGGAAATTTTGGGTAGGGTGGAAGGAGAAAATCAGGTATAAAAAATTCCAAATTCAGAAAAAATGTCATAATGAAACTAAGATTTTGAGTTCTGAAAGTGGTGTCTTTAGTCCCTGATAGCTGGGTTTTCTACACCTTTTGGAACTGACTCTGCACCTTTCCATTATCCTGTGTGGTGCTCTCTGGACACCTTGTTTTCCTTGGCACTTATTTTTAGGACAGGGCTTGAAAAATTGCACTGAGTTCTGTGCTTAATTTCTGCTAGAAGAGTTTGATAACCTCTACTGTCTGTCCATAAATGCAAATGAACAGCTTGCATTATGGCCAGCAAATGCCAAGTGTAATAGTGCAAATTAAATTAATTAACACTGGGTCATGTAAAGCAGCAGGTTCTCAGCGTGTGCCCCAGCTGCACTGTCACTGCCACGGCAGCTGATGGGCTTTTTGTTGTTGTTTTCTTTTCTTTGAATACCCATAGATTTTACCACAAATCCTGGGTTATTTGTAGTATCTCAGATCAAAATTACTGGTGTCTGACCCTGCCCTACTCAGCCCAGCCCGACCCAGCTGCCAGGCAGGGCAGCAAGGCAAGAAGAGGCAAGGGGGCTGCAGCCTCTCCCCCAGCACGTATCATGAATATTCTGATCATGCTCTGTGATAATCTTCATGGTCAAAATGGTAGTAGGTTGAATGAAAATAGCATTACCCTATGGAGCCTGGAAATTGGGCTCTGCAAAGTTGGTGTATAAACAGGTGGGATATGAAGGACACAAAACATTCCACGAGGTAAAGCAAGATCTGCTGTTTAGAGAATGTGAATCTTCAACATTTGGTTCAGTATTGCACTGTGTATAATAAGAGGAGCTTCTTTTTAAACATCTCTTGAAAGTCAACGATCTTCTTGGGTTTCCATTTGTAAACCCTGATTACCCTACAATTGTTGCATTAGGGAAAAAAATACAGTTAACAGATCAGGAGCTGGAACCACTGGGTGCCACATGTCAGCTGAATTCCTGAATCTCACTTTTTCCCCCTTAAAAGGAGACCAATATTAGATGATGGGTGTCAACTTTATTGAGATGCACAGTGTATTGAGCATTATATGATTAACAACACTACTAACGAACATATATTAATACTCTGTCTCCAGAGGAGGAACAGACACACTGTCATTGTTGACAATTGACAATATTTTAATATGTAAACACTTGGGTAGACAAGATATAAATATAACTTGCACCAACATTATGAGCAAAAATACTCTAAAACCAGTTTAAGCTGAGGGAAATGGTGTCATTGAAAGGTGAGCCATGCCATCTTCTTCTCTTGAAATGCACGTAGAGTTCCTTGTCACCTCTACGGATAAAGCAAATGCTGTCCAGAGCATTGAACAACCATAGATTCTCTTCATTAAAGGTGGAAATGTAAAGTTGATTCCATTTTCCTTGTCTCAAAAAGATACCTAAAAGTGTCACAAAGGTAGAATAGGAAAAATTCACTGATGAGAGAGAAGTCTAAACAGTACCTAGCCTGGCAGAGCTCAAGAAGCATTTGGACAATGCTTCCAGGCACATGGTGCAATTCTTGGGGATGGTCCTGTGCAGCGCCAGGAGCTGGTCTAGGTGATCCTTGTAGGTCCCTTCCAACTCAGAATATTCCATGATTCTGTAAACCATGAGACAAATATTTGGAAAGAACAGTGCAAGCAACCTTTCAGGAAGAGTAGATGGTAAAAAGGAAAGTCAACCCTTTCTGTTTAATACAAGGGAAAAAAACATGCTCTGGAAATTGAAAACACTGTGAAATGCAACTAGAACTGCATTGATATGGTTACATTAGTGAGCGTGGTGACAGCTTTCTGCTCAGCTAGACCATGGAAAGCAGCCAAGCTTCTCAGAGGAATCAGCTACTTTAGGCAGAAGATGCATCACCCAATCACAGGCTCAAAGCAAAATATGAGGCAGTATTGGCTCCATGACCCAAGAAATTTTAGAGGGAAGCAGAGATTCTGGGCAGTGATTTCTTTTGATAGTGCATATGCCTAGATGGGAGAAAGAAGCATAAAAAAGACAACAGAAAAAAAACCAAAGAAAAGAAAGCTGGAGACACAGTCAGAAGAAGAAATGGTGAGTATGAGTCTGGGGAGGCTGAGTTTAGCAAAATGAAGTAACAAAGCAGAAAGGGGATATTCAGGTTTCCTGCCAATAAGGGAACAGACAGGATTACATAAAAGAAATTACTGATTATTCAACAGGTTTTTTTCCTCTCAGTGCCAGAGACCAACACCTTAGGACCCTCAATTACTGCTCACTACTTGGGTCAAGAAGGGGTGATCTTATTTAGTGTAAAGAGCAATCAATCTACAGAACTTACAGCAAATAATCTTCATGAGACAGAAAATTTTGTAAATTTCTAAGAACTTTAGTCAAGTGAATATAAACATCTGTTGTTATATTTTCTGCCCCAGTAATTACAAGAACTATTAATTAGCTCATCTCAGGGGAATGCTCAAGTGAAAAAATTAGGAAGCTGCTTAGGTATATGGTACCTTTTTATGATTAGATGACTGTGAATTTTCTTCTGAAAGTTATAGCATTTCTGGCAAAATGCTCAATTAGATGTGCAGCTGTTTTGTTTTAATTTTATATCATCAGTACATTTAGGCAAAATAATTAAGATGTCAATTATAAGAGTTAAGGTGGAAAATAAATGGGAGCTGGATGTGCAGGATTTCACATAATAAAATTTATCTCTAAACATAGTAAATTATTAATTTTCTTTAACTGTCCCAAACTCATATGCAGTGTGGTTATACTGGTATCCTGGCTCAGGTTATCTCATTAATAAAGAGCTCTAATTAATTCTTTCCAGCTAAGCATCCCTCCTCATTTTCAATGGAACCAAGCACATCAAAGGTCCCAGTTGTGAGCATTTCTGAAGATTAAGCCAGTTGCACACAGCATAATGAGAGGAGTTTGGACATTCTGCTCTAGGGACACATGTTTAAAATTCATTTTATGTCCTCTGCAAATGGTGGGTGCTTTGTGCTCTTTGCCTTTTTTTAGGCCTGCTGGTCATGCAAAACTTTATTCTCTCATTATCGGTTCCCACGGGTGAGCAATGTTTATTACAGAGCTGGAAACCAGCTCTGTTATAAACATTGAGGACATATTTTAACCCACTAGAGTGGGCAGTGAATATCTTGAGAGTGATGTTCACTCCTGCTCCTTTGCTTGTCAAACAATTGATTTTTGAAAGTTGACCATGCAAAGAGCATCCGCTTCTAGGGGATAATTTGTTATTCATGTAAATATTCTACTGACAGTTATTCTGTTAACAGTTTAACCTACCAAGTTTTTAACCCTACCCTTGATTGACAGTCTACTAAAAAAGTACAGAGGAAGTAAGAAAGTACTAGGGCATCCTGCACATGGCCAGTCTGTAATACAGACTCACTCTTCCATGAAGAGCAGTGTCTTGTGTCTTCCTGCTGCAGTGGCACGTGCCTCCTGTTGGCTGTCAGAAGCTTCTCTGGCAGCTCTCAACCTGCTGGATGGCAGCTGATGGTTTACATTTAGTCCTGCTTCCTTTGGACACGCTGCGTTCACGCACACAATGCGCGCACATCCACAAACAGCGTGAGCTGTGGCTATGCTTGCACTGCCTGGCTGTATTTACGAGAGGGGGAAGAGCAGATGTACCCCACAGAGTGCTTGTAAATTCTTCTCAGTTGTGCCAAAGCAAGCGTGAAGGGGACGAGAAATGGCTTGGACAAATGTGAAGGCTACTGAGATCAGGGTAGGGCTGTCATACAAGAGAGGAGCATTTTTCTTTGTGATAAAGTAACTGTTGTGTGAAACAAGTGAGCATTCTGTTACAGAGAAATGAAACAGTGTCTCTGCTACAGGGGAACTTGAGAAAATCAAGCAACAAACATTCTAACAGTTAAGAGACTGACCAAATGACTTATTGTACAGTTCCTCACCTGGTTAGATCAATGTTACTATCAGAGAAATAAGGCTTGGTGGGAAAAAAGTGCAGGGTTACTGAAAAACATGACTTACAAAATCAGTGTTAACAATCTGTGAAAACCAGAAATGTATTGAATTCAGCAGTGTAAAGGCAAAACGGTGGGGAGGAGGGGAGTCAATGTACCATTGAGATCAGATTTATTTACAGCAATGTGAAGGCAGTCACAACAATGCAGACAACAGCAATACATAGTTTAAAAAAAGCGGTTTACAAAAGAATCTTCCTCTATACACATTTTGTAAAGAAATACGGGGGGAAAATACAGAAAGATTTGCACCATCTGGAGGACAAATCTGCAAAGATGAAGAGACAGTGTTTTCCTGGGTCCTGTCATATGTGTGAGATATCTGTTACATAATGCTGGGTAAGAATAAACATGACAATTCAATTCAAAGATGACACTTGAGCTGCATGAACCTCCTTACAGCTTATGGTTTGCTTGTGGTGAACAGCAGTCCAGTGAGCTTATGGTGTGTTGTAATTTACTTGTCTCATCTGAAAGAGGACAGTGAGGGCTTCTTGTAGACACAAAGAGGATCTCAAAAGTCTGAGAACTGCATGGGACCAAGCCTAAGACTGGGTTTTTTTTCATTTAATGGAAAGCTAAATGGGCAGGTGTGGGTCTAGCAGAGAGTCCTTCCTGTTAAGTGAGAGTCAACAAGCAGAAAAGCATGCAGGCCAGGAAAAGCCTTGAGAGTGAAGACCAACAATTCATAGACCCAGCTAGGCAAAAGTGAGAACCATCATCTATAATACAGCTTAGATAAATTGATTTTGACAAGAGATTAATAATTCTGCATGCGGTGATCATGTAGTAACTCACAGTGATCCCTGAATTCATTTGGTTTCCTTCCTGTCAGGAAAAAAAAGCTATCAAAGAGTTCTGCTATGATTAAGAAGTGATCTACCAGCCAGAAAATGGTGGTGGCTGTGTGGGACAAATTCAGACACCAGAATGAATTAACAGGGAGGGAACACATTCACAATAAGGCCAGAGCAAAAGTTTGAGGAAGATCTTCTAAGGATGCTTCTCCATGAGAACAGGAGAGGAGGTAACACCCACTCTTTTAAGTGAAAGGCTTTTTTTGCCATTTGGTATCTACATCAGGTGTTTTGACAGGTTCAGACTGAGAGAGAAAATACAAGACTCTGCACCTGTCACATTCTGAGGCAAGCTAGAGCATCATGTCCCCATCTGAAGGGATTTGGATAAGACAGAGGTAATTGTGAAAGATCTGCTAATGCAAAGAGAAAATAGAGAAAATTAATACCAGCAAGTTTTTTATGTGCTTAAAATTTTCCCAAGGAAAACCAAACATCAGAAATGGTGGGTTTTCTAGTTCATCTACATGGGGATAGCGAAGATTTATTGCCCCCCAACCTTTTATAATTTATAAGGGCCCTGCTTTGCTTCAAATCCTAGAAAACCATAGACATTAATTTTTCTGATTGAGCTGACTCCTGCTATTACATACACAAGTGTTCCTTTATTATGGAAAGGGTAAAGTTCCTTATGGCTTGATGAACAGGAGAACAAATTCAAAGTAAAATACATTTGAACACAGGTTACAGACATTGCACTTTAAATATTTAAGAGAACCAAGATCAGATACAGACAAAGTGTGGTTCACATCAGATGTGCCTGACCCTCATACTCCTGGGCATCTGTGTGGTGTTTCTGTCTCCAGTCAAGATCATGGATTTCTGGAGTATGTTTTTCCACATGCAGCCTCATAAGTCGTACATTGCCTAAAATGTAAGAAACCTTAATTTGATTTTCAAATGGAAGTCTGCCGATGTGCATGTTTGCAAACTGATCCATGAACAGACCTTTTCTGAGGCAAGTTCCAAACAAAAACTTTTTGGAATCTGTACTACCTAACTCAAAGCTCAAGACATTACCTCGCATCCACAAAGTTTAAAAAAAAAAAATAGCAACACATGGGGACATTTCTGAAGTACTTGCCTGATACAAAAGACTGGCTATCAAGGAAAATTTTATGGTAGAAATGTATCAGAGGATATTTATAAAAATACAGAGAATTTTTGAGGCTTCTCAATAGACATGCCTTTCTTAAATGAGAAATATAAAATTGTTCAAAATTCCATGTCTTGAAAGAGTAGTATTTAATTTAAAAAGCATGAGGAAACAGGATGCTTTCAGTTATTAAATTTTATCAAGACTAGAAATATGACATTTAGGAGAGATGTCAGTAAAGAAAGTTCACCAGAAGTGAAATGAAGTCATTGGAAGATCTCCCACTTACCTGAAGGGGATGGTATGATAAAAAAGACCTTCTTGACATTCCTGTGTATACCGAGCATGAGAACAAGAACGGGAAATGCATAATTCTGTAAAAATAATTTCGCATTTTCAGAGGGATATCCTGTTCTGTGCAAATCTAAATCATTGCAGACAAGCTGCAATTATCAGTTCAGAAAGAGTTGTTCCAGATGGTTTGTGTTTTCTTTTGGACCAGAGACCAGTGAGGGCATTATTCACAATGTTGACAATTAATGCTATCCCAGCAGTGTCTATATCTCCTTCTGCCCTTAAAAACTTAGGCAGTCTTTGAATTTATCACCAGTTCTCTGTCTTTAAATAATACTTATGTATGTGAAGTGCAACCCTGCTCTGGTGACAAATCTATCCTTCAGTACCCATTTTTCTTCCCAACCAGGATTCCTTGTCAGGGATGTGAAGACGCTCCAAATCTGTGGAACTTTCTCTTAATGTTTTACATTCTTCAACCAAACATCCTATAAAAACTTAGTATAAGAGACATATCCAGCTTAACACACACATCTGCTCTTCTGATTATTTCAGTCTTCGCATAAATCTCACGTAATTGCTCAGCTGAGTGACTGACAGAAGGAAGGACATGAGACAGTATGCTTTTTATGTCAATTTTTATTTTATAGCATAGTGATTGCTTTTTAGCACTTGTGGCAATAAATGTAATTAAGTAGTTTTTCATACTGAACTATTTTCTGGTCCATTTTCTTGCAATTCAAATATTTCCTATATTTGTTGCACTGTGAAATTCAATATGTGAGCTTCTTTAATTCATTAATAAAATAGCAAAAATTGAGACTACGACTGTTCATAGAATCAGCTCCTTATCTGTGCTTGTGAGACTTTAGATGTTTCATGGGATTATTTTACAGATATAAAACATATATTTTCTGTAAAGATTTTGGGAGCTTTTTTAACTTTGAAGTAGTTTAATGGAAATAGAGAAAAACCGCTTAGAGAAAGTTGAAGTACGGGAGTAGGTGTTGAAAGGAGACAACAAGTTATTTGAAGGCTTGAAAAATGTCTTGCAGTGAAAAACTTAAATTAGAATTGGCTAGAAATGCTTTGATGCAATGTTTTTCAGCTGATAGTATCTATTCATCATATTGAAGCTCTGCTGGAAGGGATCAATTTTCATATTTCTGGTTTTGAAATGTTTCCAGCAGTTTCAAAGTTGTTAAAACATCCTCCTCCAACATTTTCCAAATGGAAAAAAACCCTACAATTTTCAGTCTAAAAGTCTTCCTCTCAAAATATAACCTAATTATTCCAACTGTCCCTGAACTGAGCTGGAAATATTGCAAATCACCCAAAATTGAATTTATTTTTGTTTTCTTCTTTTGTTTCTTAATCTTTATTTATTTCTGGCAGACCATCAACGTTTTCAAGAGTTCTATTTTTTGTCACACTTTGAGAACAGAAAAAAAATTTGGTCAGGTTGCCTGACCATTTGTCTGGTTCAGTCCAGCAAAGGAGGTTCTTCAGTGAGGCCTACCTCTGTATGAATATATTAAATTTGCTTTTGACTGTGTGTCGGGTTAACCTGGCCAGGTTTTGGTAGCAGGATGGGGGTTTCTGTGAGAAACTGCTGGAAGCTTCTCCCATGCCCAACAGAGCCAAGGCCAGCTGGCTCTGGGATGGCCTAGGCCAAGCACTGAGGGGTTGCAGGAAAACATTTCTAAGGAGAGGGAAAAAAATCTGTGCATCAGCAGCTGGAAGAGGGGAGTCAGAATTTGTGAGGAACAACTCTGCAGACACCAAGATCTGTGAAGAAGGAGGGGAAGAGGAGCTCCAGGTGTGACAGTGAGTTGCCTCCCACTGCAGGTCTTTACCGCCACAGCCCATGGAGCATCCCAGTCCCAAATTCCCAAAGGAAGCCGTGACCCTGTGGGGAGCTCACCCTGCAGAAGGCTCCTGGCAGGATCTGTGGACTCGTGGAAAGAGAGAGGATCCCTCACTGGGGCAGGTTTGCTGGCAGGACTCACGGGCCTCTAGTGGGTGTGTGTTGGAGCAGTCGGCTCCCTAAGGCCTGATCCCAAAGGCCTGATCCCAAAGGCCTGATCCCAAAGGCCTGATCCCAAAGGCCTGATCCCAAAGGCCTGATCCCAAAGGCCTGATCCCAAAGGCCTGATCCCGAAGGTCTGATCCCTAAGGCCTGATCCCAAAGGTCTGATCCCAAAGGCCTGATCCCGAAGGCCTGCTCCCAAAAGCCTGCTCCCAGCAGAAGGGACCCGCTGGAGCAGCACGTGAGAAGGACTCACACTGGAGTTTGGGCAGGACTGTTTCCTGTGGCAGGGACCGCACACCGGGGGAGAGCAGCGGGGCAAGGGTGTGAGGAAGAGGAGGGAGCAGAAGAGACAGTGTGCGATGAACTGATGCAGCCTCTGTCCCCCCGTGCTGCTGGAGAGGGGAGGCAGAGAAAGCAGGAGTGAAGCTGAGCCCCAGAAGAAGGGAGGAGTGGGGCAAAGTGTTCCATGGTTTGGTTTTGTTAGTCACCATTGATTTGACTGGTAATAAATTCATTTCCTCAAGTTAAGTCTGTTTTGCCAATGACAGTAATTGCTGAGTGATTTCTCCCTGTCCTTATCTTGACCCACAAGCTTTTTTGTTATATTTTTTCTCCTGTCCATCTGAGGAGGGGACTGACAGAGCAGCTTTGATGGGCCTCTGGCATCTGTCAATCAAACAACTAGAGACCATTCCCTGGCACTGAGGTCATGCAAGAGCCTCTCTCCTTGCTATTAATGTCTGTCATCTGCTGAAACAGAAGGGTCACATCCAAACCACCCACTAAGAATGATAATTTTCCTGTTCTAATTCCTGATCATAGGAATTAGACTAGGCTAGGAATTGTCTGGGAGGGCATGATCTCCAGACTCCAACATTTTCTATATGTTTTTGCCTTTCGCATGTATTTTCATGAGGAGTGGTCTGTAAGTTTGTTGCTGAGAAATGCACCTGGATATTATATATAAATAAAGAAAAAATTCCCAAATTTTCATCTTCAGCTTTCTATCTTCAGCATTCTGCTTCATCTTTCTATCTTCAAATCTCATAAGGTTTGGTGAGGTACATACTGTTTCATGGAGCTAATCCATACCTTTTTGCTCATGTGAAAATCTATAAAAATATGCTCAAACTCTCTTTGCACTTTTCCAATGATTCAGTTAAGTAGCTTGTAGCCTGGAGTTATGGATACAAAGTATTAGCTGTTAAACTGTCAAGACTTGTTGTAACAAAGAGCAGCAGCCATGGCTTGAGGGATATTTAAGCAGGGTTTTGTGAATAATTTTAAGACACATAAAAGGCTGTTTTGAAAAGGAAAGGGATTTTTTTGGCTATAATATTGCAGGATACTGGAAAAATCAAATGGAAGCATGTCACATAGAATAAAACTCCTAATTAGGAATCAACTGGCAGTCCTGGTGATCCACCATCTCCTAAAAGACAAGTGTGTCCACGGAATTTTGTTGGTATAAAATCTGTTCTCCTATCTTTGGCCAGGCTATTGGATATTCTAAGCAGTTTTGGCAGCAAAAGTCAAATACAGGGCAGCAGGAGTAGCTCAGCGTACAGCATGATCTCCGTACAGCTCAGGGCATTTCACTGTGCTCTCTGAAGCCAGCTGCATTTTCACAGCAGAATTTTAGATACTGTTATATCTGTGCTATCTTAGTCTGACACAGTCTTGGTGCAGAGCTGACAATTTAACCACAGAAATCTCTTATTTATGACAGACTTTATCTTGTTCCTATTTACGCCTGAAAGTTAGGTTTTAAAATGTTTCTGAAGCAGCTGGCACACAGAGTCAGGAATTTGGCAAATCTTGAAGAAATTTGTGCATCAGCCTAGCAGTTTAGATCTAATCTGTCTTCATGTGTACTGATAGAAAGTGTTGACTGTGGCTTAACTTCTTCATCGATGTGTTCTTGATATTCTAAATATGTGTTCTAAAGAACAAAGCATCAACAGCCTTTGACTGAAATTAAAGTTGTTGATGTTTTCAGAGCTGCGTCCTCTACCTGAGGCCAGTAAGGAATGGGATGTGTACATTACCAGTAAGGAGAAGGCTGTCAGTATAGGTGCTTGTTTTCAAAATTGGAAATCTAGATTTGGGAACAGAATTCTCATGTTTTTGCTTTAAGTCTCTGGGAGGATATTTGTTGTTTGATTAAAATAACTTTGCTTTAGCAAAGTAGGTCAATATTTCTTTCACCTACTGACCTCAAAGCCCTCAGCCAACAGTGGCTGGGATTTCTTGGGGATTGTTTCCTTACTTCCTGAGAAGGAAATTTCCTGAGAAGGATGTCTGAGTATGTGGTATACATACTGGCCCTTGGTCTGAATAATTAAAGGAATGTTTGTGAAGCAGATATTAGAAAATAATAACATCTTAAAGATACAGGATTAGCTATCAAAAAGAAGAAAAAAGAAGAAAAAACTCAGAACTTTAAATAGGATTTTAAGGCTCTACACACAAACATAATAATAAAAATGCTTCTATCTCCTTGCCAATTTTAATTATTTTTTTTCTCTACATGTTTGTCTGTCATGATGATTTTTGTTTCTAATTCCTTGCAGACGTCTCAGTCAGTCTCTTGGCAGTTGTCGTCAGCTTCTGCGGGCTCGCCTTGCTGGTGGTCTCGCTTTTTGTCTTTTGGAAGCTCTGTTGGCCCTGCTGGAGGAGCAAACCTCTCACCTCCAGCACCAGTAATGTCCCGCAGAGCAACTCCAGCGCTCCTACGGAGGTTTTGGAGAACAGCGAGAAAAAGGAAGTGAAAGAAGATGGGAAAGCTACCACCAAGGTACTTGAAGCTGCTATGAAAATCAGCCACACTTCACCTGACATACCAGCAGAGGTCCAGAACGCACTGAAAGAGCACCTGATCAGACATGCTCGGATGCAGAGGCAGATCACTGAGCCCACGTCCTCATCACGGTAAGTCAAAGGCACTCACACTTGTGGCACCTCTCCCAGGAACAAGTAGAGCAGGAATGCTGCTGAAAATTTCCAGGATCCTGGATTATTCACAGGTTTCTTAGCAGTTATGGGTGAAACATCAGTCTTGTGAGTGTGAAGCCACGTTGTTCTTTGGACAGAATATTCTAAAACATTTCAGTTACATAACCATTTTAACATATGGAAGGGAAATCTACATCTTCTACTACTTTGAAAAGATAGATGTTGCTACTTTAAGCTTTTCCTTTTTGGTTTTTGATTACAAGAAAACATAGTTCAGTGGTTTTTTTTGAAGAACTGCAAGTCTAGATTTTCACAGAGATGTTTTTTATAGATATATCAGTTGTTTTTGCAGATGAAAGTTTCCCTCTCAACCAAATAAATGATAGGTTCATTGTCGATGGCACATTTCTCTAAGGCATGGTTTGCTGATTACGAAGGAATTAAAATTCCAGTCTAAAAATACAGATCCTTGTGGACTGATCTTAAAGCTGTACAGATTCCATATAGGTCTACAAATAAATGACAAGCATGCAGCATTCCTTAGTGGTTTCTTTAGTATTAAAGTGGAGGACACAAACTTTAATTTTGCATTAGATGCCACTTTATATTGTAAAGCTGTGAAGACATGCAGATACCTATAGATTCAAATGGGATTTTCTTCAAACACTGTCAGCAAATTTAATGCATAGGAACAAACAATGAACTGCAAAGATCAAATCCTAAGATAAAAAGGAGATTGTTTTATAAGCAAAGATTGGGAAAATTAAGGTTAAAAGAGGCACCTGACGTATTGTGTAATGCCATAAATTACAGTACAGATACTGTGTAGGATGTAGGTTTTTGTCAAAATGCCATTTGCTAAGGAAACACATACCACCAAAAAAAATAAAATCCCCAAACCAACCAAATTAAAAAACCCACTAAACCCAAAGAAACAAACAAACAAACAAAAAGGGTCACATTTGCAATAATCAGAGACAAAAGAAGGAGAAGACACATGCTTTACACTGAGCAGGCACATACCTTGCTGGCCTCCTGGGAGCCCTAAAGACAATGTTTGGCCAGCTCAATGCACTCGTTGTGGCAGTGAGTGCTCAAGTGCTTTTGCTCAGCTATTCCAACCTCATGAAACAGCCAACAGGAAGCCACAGGAAGCTCACAAAATGAGAGCACTCCAGCCAGAGGAGGTCTGACTGACTTGAGCAGCCGAAGCATCTCCTGAATTATGAGGCTGTCCAGCTGGCTTTAAGCCACATTACCCTGGCTCTGCCTGGTTCCTGCTACTGTATCCATCTGCTCAGAACAGGAGCACAGCATCCAAACCACACTGAGCAACATTGCCACAAAGCTCAGATAATTCTGAACTTGTAACTGTTCAAACTAAACACAGGGGAGCAAATATTGGTACAGTTTAGCATGACAAACCCATTACCCAGCTCACTGCTACCTAAAAAGATATTAACTGAAAGAGTTTTACCCATCAAATCCAAGTATTCAGACTGTCTGACCTCCTGAACAGACAGAAGAAATGGCTGGCTGGCAAATGGACTTGAATAGCCCCAGTGGTACTATAGGGGAAGAAAGAAGTTCCAGGGATATGCTCCAGATCTACTTCAGGCAGTGAAAATATTCTCACAGGTCTCTAGAGTGATTTGGACTGGGATCTAAATTAATACAAAATATTTGTTAAGCCAAGGACAGTTTTACAAAAGAAAAACCGCCTACCAATACCAGTCTTTGTGCAACCTTGTAAAGGAGGTTTCTTTTTATCTTCTCAAGATTATCAGGGTTAAATCTCCTCTGAAAGGGATAGTTCCTGTGCTTTGAGTAACTCACAGTCCCACTACAGCAACAGTCTGTCACTTCTCTCAGCATATTTATATATGCATATATATACATATATATATATATATATATATGCATTATATACATACTCATTGAGTAGCAGGGTGTTTGGAAACATCACTTTCTTTTAGAGTTGAGTGAAAAATTCTGCATCCTTTAACAAAACATGTTTAGAATGACATGTGCCTTAAAAATTACCCAGAAATGGTGATCTTTCTGTTTGTAAACACATTTTATCTACATCCTGCCTTCCTTAAGGGAGTCTTAACTGAACAGCCCATATTAGTTGCTGCTGCCAAGAATATCATGTATGACAACATTTAAACCAATTTTCTGAATTATTCCTTACTGTGTGTTGCCCCAGCTGGCAACAATGTACCAGCAAAATGACTAAAACCTGACTCTGGTGCCCTTGATTGGGGACCCTAAGTAAAAAGCAGCCAATGGCAGATGCAGAGGAAGTGTAACTTCTCTTCCACCATCTTCAATGCAGCACTGCTTTGTTGCCCTCAGGAGTCCTGAGGGATGCAGATGAACCCTCTTCTAAAAGGATTCCTTTGACAAAGGATCTGAGAGAAATGCTTGCTGTCTGGATTGTTTCCTGTACGCTGCTCTCACCTGAGCTGGGGCAATTTAAGGGTTGTAACCAGTTCTACAATGGGTTCATAAAGCTATCAGCTCTTAATAAAATAAGTTAAATCATATTAAGTCATTGTAATTGAAGCATGAGGATTTTAATAAGCCAATCAGAGCAACATTCAAATGTGCCTGATCACATTTTTTAGACTGTACATTTAACACTGAGACATGTTAGTCTGGGGAAATGATACTCTTCTGTTTAGTTATAACTACATATTTTTCATAGTCCCTGATAATATGAAAAGACCCATTTGTTAAAAGCTCTTTAGTCCTTGACATCAATTAACCAGTACACTACAGCAGAACTGCAGCAGTAGTGCTCATTTGCAAATATTTTTTGCTGTGTTATTGAGAACCATCCTTTCCCATACTCTGTGATAATATTTTGCAATATAGTTCATTGCTTCTATGAAAATCCAGTCTTCAAACACTCACCTGTATTTTCCAAGAACATGCTTTTTGCTCTTTAGCATCAGCTGGAGCGGAACATGTTGAGCCAGTCAGTTCCCAAGGGACACAAAGGCAAAAGAAGTGCTTGGGTTGGTTAAGGTTAAAGAAGAACAAATATATCTGTTGATTTTAGTGTTTGCAAAGAGAAGAGAGAAGTTCTGTCTAAATACCACCAGTGATCATGCCCTTTTCTGGATTTGGACCAAAAGATTGCTCTAATGCTATCTAGGAAAGCTAGACCTGAGTCACCTCTCATAAATCTCAAGTCATTTCATGAATCAGCATCCTATCCCTCCCTTTTGTCACAGATGTGTCTGTCTTACTGAGTTTGAAATCAGCTTCATAGTGTCATTATGCCCCTGAAAATACAGTTTTATATTAGATTTACATACAGATTTGCTATCACTCAAAATGCATTTGCTCTGTTACAGAAGGCAGGTCTACTATAGGAGTGGAGCATGTCATGTAAGAGTCAGTGGAGGCTGAAGTACATGGATTTGCACATGTTGGTAGCTCTGCCACATTTTAACAACCTGGTTTTCTTACATCCTTGTATTTCATTATCACAGTCATTAATCTCTTTGTTACTGCAGAACAAAGATAAATATGTTGCCATGACAACAATGAAACACCTTAATAATTAACAGACCAATTAGCTGTCTTGGTGAAATGCTGTGACTCAGAACAGATACTAGGCACTGTGTAATTAGGACTTTGGCTTACTAGAGCAAAAGTGCTGCTGATTCCCACAGGGAACAACCATACAAATGCATTCTTTTACTTTGTGACATCTCACAACAATTCAGCAGAGGATCTGAAATGCATGAAGTCTGAAAATTTCAAAGCTGGTACCTTAGAAATCATAGATTTGGGGTCTTCAATATTGCTTTTGCATGCATTAACTCAGATTGTCATAAACGCAAGGGAAGTTGAAGAAAAGAGAATTTGCCATGCACCTGTATCTGCTCAAACTGATGTCATACAACCAGCTTCACTGTTCCTCCTGCAAAGGCAGTTTTAGCTACTGCTTATGTACAACAGGGTTTGAACACGATACCCCCATGGCAGAGGGACTGGAACTGGGTGATCTTCCAGGTCCTTTCCAACTCAGACTATTCTATGACTCTGTGATCACCTCAATAGCGCAGCTGCAGGTGTGAGGGGCACCCAGGAAGGCCTCCCTGCACAGGTTTCCTTAGCACTGACCGAAGTAGCAGTAACACAGGTCTTCCTGGACCTCATTTTGAGTCAAAGATACTAAAAAGATAGTCCTTAAACTGCTGTCTGCCCAGGAATGTGCTACATTTTGGGTGGAGTTCAGCTCCTTCCCCATGTTCTGGCATGGCCATGAGGTTGTGCTTCTCGGAAGGCAAAAGCACCAGAACAGCTGTGAAACTCCCCACGGACAATATTCTACTTTTCTGACCAGTCAGGGCCTTTTCATTCCTCACTCCATTCCAATGTGGACATTAGACACTATGAATTCAGGGAGTTTTGATGTTTAAGAGGGAAGAAAATCTTTCAACTTGCCCATCTGTAGAGAAAAAGAGGCAAAGTGATGTGTTATTACATATATTACCGTATTAATAAATACATATGTTACAAGAGGGACGTATTGTTATCTAAATTTGAGATCCAAACACCTGGATTTTTTTCAGTTACTTCAAGTCTGGGCTATGAAGCTCTCCCTGCCCTGTTTTTGTGTTGAGCTAGGACTGCTCCCTGCACCTAGCAGGACTGAAAGAGCTGAAAGGGGTAACATTCTTGTCTATTATTGAATAGCTGCAGATTATCCTCTTGCATCTCTGCTCAGCTGAACTGTGGCAGTTTTGTGCTTCGTGCCTTCTGCAACCTCTTCACTTACAGCAAAAATACAAATAATATCTATGAAATGAGTCCTGGTTGCTTTCAAATGGACAGTTTGAATTTCTGTTTTAAAGAAAGAAACACACAGCTGTGACACCTCTTGTTTTCAGAACACAACACCACAGGGAAACCAAGCAATAAGGCAAGACTACGTGTGGCATTAATAAGCAATTGATTGCAAAAAGCAGAGGAAATTCTGACAATTGCATTGTTCTTTAATGGTAACTAAGTGTGCTCACAGGAGGAGGTGGTGAGCTTCTGCAGCACAGATTGTTGGGGTAGGGAAGTACCAAGGAAATGTGAAAATGCCTAAAAAATAAACTGGATAGTGTAGTTATAATGGCATCTGCTGCTGATAAATGCTGTGAAGCTTTATTTTATTTTTTTTTTACAACACTAAGGTTGTATGGCACTCCAGGGGTTTGATTTCACTCTTAGTAAGAACGGCACTAACTTGCCATTTGGATTCATGAGCCAAGATAAGCCCATAAATATATATGTTTATGCAACATTGTATTATTCAGAATTGCAAGGAATTTAACATACTGTTTCTTGCTAGTGGCACAGGAATCAGCTTTCTAATACACAGCACAGGAGACCATGAGAACAAAAGGAGGGGAAAAAAAAGCAATGAAGCAGTGGCAGAAAATTGTTGGCAAAACTCTGAAACCCATTGCAGGCACAACAAAATATTCCCAGTGCTCTTGGAGAAGGCAGCCTGCCTCAGTGTAGCAGCTACCAGGCAGGTGTATATAAAATGTGGTAGGATGGCAAAGCTCTATGCTAAAAACCTCCAGGCACAACTCTGCATTTCTCTTTCAGGCGCCTTTCACTGTCATCAGTGTGAAGGCTGGTAAATTATTAATTGGAAAACCACCATGGAATGCCTCCAAAAACTGGAGAGTACTGATGAAAATTCTGCAAGTGCTTTTTTTTTTTTTTTTCTGTTTAACCATAGTTTACTCCAGCCCTAGCAAAGTGGAATCATGCGAGGTTGGAACTGTCAACTTGTTCTGTGAAAGAACATGAATTCAGTTTCAGCAGCATAGTCTGAAAGCTAAGTTATAAATATATTTATTTTTGGTACAGTAGGTGTCCCCTAGGCCAAGAGATTAATTCTGAATTGTCATTTCCTCTCAAGGGTGCTTTAAGACTTGCAAAACACTGAAGGGGGTGTGGAGATAATTATTTTTTAATTCTTTTAAAGACAGGAGCCCTCACTAATTTTTTCTTATGTTTTCTTTTGAGACATGGTCTTTTCCCAGAGATAACCATGGCTTGTTTTATGTGTCTCTGTGTGTCTCTATGTGTCTGTGTGTGTGTGTGTGTGCAGGCACAATTCTTTCAGGAGGCATTTGCCAAGACAGATGCAAGTGTCCAGTGTTGATTTTAACATGGGGACAGACCCAGTTTTGCAAAGGGGAGAGACCACAACCAGCATTGGGAGAATAAAACCAGAACTCTACAAACAGAAGTCTGTGGATTCTGATGGGCAGCAAGAAGATGTGAAAACATGTGGAAAACTTAACTTCACTCTCCGGTATGATTATGAGAATGAACTTCTGGCTGTCACAATTGTCAAAGCCTTAGATCTGCCTGCTAAAGATTTCACAGGAACATCCGACCCCTACGTTAAGATTTATCTGCTTCCAGATAGGAAAAAGAAGTTTCAGACACGAGTTCACAGAAAGACATTAAATCCTGTCTTTGATGAAACCTTTCAGTTTCCTGTAGCCTATGATCAACTCAGCAACAGGAAATTGCATTTCAGTGTTTATGATTTTGACCGATTTTCTAGACATGACATGATTGGGGAAGTTATTCTTGATAACCTTTTTGAAGTCTCAGATCTCTCCAGGGAAGCCAATGTATGGAAAGACATCCACTGTGCCACCACAGTAAGTAATGTGTTACAAAAGTATTAACATCATATTTTCATTTCTCTTTTGTAGTTTTTGGCAGTGTACCCTGTTTATCAGCAGAGTCCAAAATAAAAAATACATAAAAAGAGGAGATGTCAATATTTTCCTTTGAGCACAGAGAATAATACTTGGGAAGATATAAAATTTAATTACCAAAAAATCTTCTGGGAGCATACTGTCATCTTTATGGCTCACTGTGTGTATATAAATTACATTTATTAATTAAATGCTACATCATGAAAGTCATTGCTTAGCCAGAACTAATAACATTTTCCTGTTAGCAAAATACTTTGTCCTGCAAAATGACCACCTATTAAGAAAAAGCGCCAATCCTATCCTGCTCTTGTTAGGAAATATTCATAGGTTAGAAATCTTGGTAAGGAAAGGAGGCTAAAATTGCTTGAAGTGTAAAATGTTCTTTGCTGACTGCATTGTGCTTAGGGCCCCCAAAAGCTGTATGTGCATTGCTGCAGGTTGCCACAAAAACTCAAGAGGCACAAGCAAGAAGAATTAGGCAATAGAAATTAATGAGTTTATTGTTGCAAGCAAGAAGAGGAGGTCTGTGCATGGCTGACAGGATGAATGGCAGGCTACCAGAGAACAGCAGTCTCCAGATATTGCTTTATTAGCCTTGACTTGCAAACTCATCCTCCCTGGCTGGGATTTGAAAGGGGAAAAAAAAACCAGTTAAAATAGTGAGGTGTAGGGTGTTTGTTTTGGTTTTGGATTTGGTTTCAGTTTCTTTTTGACTAACATGCTATTTATATAGAAGTTTTCCCATCCCTGGTTCTGTGGGTGTACCCAAACGGTGTGACTCATCCCAGGGTTTCAGCAAAGGCCGGATTTCCACACGGGGATGAACAGAGGACAGACCGGTACTACACATAAGTGACAGAAGCTTCTCACCATCCCTGCTCTGCAGCCAGAGACTTCCCATGCCTTTTTCATCAAATGCTTTAATGATGCTCATACCTGCTGGACAGACAGGTCTAGGTCTGCATGGTTAGAAGCACAAGGAGCACCGATATGGCCTCACCGATTTGAGCATAAGCACTGTGATCCCTGAGAAAGGAGAAATACCAGAGTGTAGAGTAGTGGAGGCAGTTTTCAAATGTGAATTCACAACAGCAGTTATTTATTTTATTTATTTTGCTGGGCCTACAAAACTGCTCCTAACAGACTTCAGCACACCTCCAGAAATCTTAATCTGTGTATGCTTAGTTTGATCAAGCTTATATTTCAGGTAAATTTAGGAATTGTGTTCTCAAGCTTAAATTTGAATCTTTGTTTAAGGTCTTTGGATAATAGTGCAAATAACAATTTATAAAAATTTCTTCTAGCTTTGATATTGTGTTTAATACTTTAGTAATTACTTAAAAGCTCACTGGTCACTTGGAGCAAGTGTATCTATGAGATCTTTAACTGATAACTAGAACAGTTTCAACAAATAAGAATATCTGGACTGTTCATCACCGGTTTTGAGCAGATTGAAATGTCGTACCAGATTATGCATTTGGAGTTGATACTAATACACATATGGATGAAAATGGTTGCTAATCTTGGTATTGGATCTCAGTTCAAGTTTCTTCCTCACTAAGGGTTAGTGCATGCAGTTTTTGTGCCTAACTCACTCTGCTGGTGTTTTCATCTGTGTCAAGCTGAAGAGAAAGCATGAGGTTTTTGGATTTCAGCCTTTCAGTCAGTATAGCTTAAAGTACTGCATGTGTATGAAAAGGTTGTCTCCACTTCAACCATCAATAACAATAGCCACATAAAATTGAGATGTCTTCTAGTGCTGGGTAACCTCATCAGCTTTCACAAGCCTTACCCTGTTCTCAGAAAATTATGTAAGAAACTGGCAATTGATTTTTTTTCCTGGAAAAATGAAGCCTTCCTAGAAGATGTCCAGTAACTATATGTGCAGTGTGCTGCCTTATGTTTTACTTAAACTATTTTATGCAGTAGTAATACAGGCTTCTAGTTCTGTCATTTCAGAAACTGTAAATTGAGAGAGCCAGACCTCCACAGGAATAAACACTGTGTGAGATGTCAATCAGTGAGGACATACTGTCTTAAACAGATATAAAATATACAGATATATTTTATATATTATATTATTATAAAATATATTATATTTTATATATTTTATATATAAAATATACCAAAGACACTAACTCGCATTTAAATGACTAATGTTGGCCAGAGTCAACTGAACTTGGATAAGCCTTGAAAATTAAAGATCCAGCTGGTTCTAGAATTGGTGGAAAATAATTCTAATCAGAGTAAGAATGCTTTGGTGTTGGTAAAGAATCTTTGTAAATCAGGCAGGCTGTGTGAGTGGAAAAGGCCCTACCCACCCAGTAGAGCCCAGGAGCCAAGATGCTATTCTGCAAATACATTTCTCTCATGCTTTTTACTTCTTCACCTTCTCTCTATTTTGCTGTATGCTCTGGGAAGTTTTTTTATCTCTGCTCAGACATGGTTCCTACACCCAATGGTCTGCTTGGGTTGTTGTTAAATGACAAATGTGGAAAACGGTAGAAGTGATAGATCAAAGAATTAGTCCAAAACTTGAAACAGTGGAAGCAGCCTCTCCTCAGCTGTGAATCTTTTACCTCTTCCACAGTCAAGAATTTTCTACTCAGAAGTTAAAAGGAGGGTAAAAACAATTCCTATTACCAGAGTGAAAAGAATCTATTCTTGTGGCACCAAACTTTGCAGTCTTAAACATCACTAGAGAGATTTACCAAGAAAATGGATTGCAGTTTTTGCCTGTGAAGGAAATTGCCACAGGAGATCAGGACAATCTTTGTTATGCAACAACTCTTTGTCAGCAGTTAACATAACTTTTAAAATATTTGCTTGCACAAATATAATTAAAATTTTAAAATAGTTGCTTGCATATAGAATTTTTATTTGGTACAGGAAATACAGTCTGGGAAAATCAGACCAGATTGTTGCACTGAGCCCTTTCGGCTCTAAACCAAACAACTCTGTGTGAATCTACAGTTTTAATACACTTTCTTTGCTCCTAATAATCATTTGAAATTATTCTATGGAAGTGCAGGATTGCCCCCCCCCCCACACTCTCATTTTTATTCTCATTCTTTTCAGATGAAGATATTTATTCACATTTTTAGTTTGTATTTTTACCTCTATTTTTGCATTCATGCCATTGTCTCTCTGTTATATATATGATGTTGAAAGCATACCATGTTTTATAATATGTAAGATGTACGTGTTTTAAGTGCTAAAGTATATTCATTTCTTAATGTTAGACTATTAACGTAAATTTAGAACAAAATCAGTAGTGTAGGAAAAGTATCTTACATATCTGATATATTCCCGAATTTTGCTTGTACAAGTGATTGAATTTTCAATTAATAATCCATCATTTGCTTCTGTTCACCTGATTAATTAAATGAACAATAAAAGAAAAAAATCAAGAGGCAGCTTTAGACTACCTGTGAAGGTTGTTCAGTATATTGGAACACTGTAATTTTCACTACACTTGAGAAAATTAATTCATAACATTAAAGGCAAACAAATAATATCAAATGGATTGTTTAATCAACACATGAGATTTCTGTTTCTGTCAAGTGCTTGTAAGTTTTTCATATATTTCTAGGTTTTGTTACTATCAAAATACACTGCATACTTTAAAAAAAAAAATCTCTTTTTTTTTTTAATTGCTAACAAGCACTTCTAATATTCAGTGTGTTAAAATTTTCTACTCAAGAAGTCCACTGCTGGTGATCCCACAATTTCTGCATGTAAACATTTATTAAGTTCCTATAATACTTTTAAAAGTATTTTAAAAGTTATCACCTGCTTTGGAAACTTCCTCTAATGTTGCTGCCTACAAAAATTGGCAAGTGACTGTCAGAGATTTTTTTTTTTGATTTTTTTTTCTGAAGGTATCCTGTGAAGTCTGTTAGAGTAACCAATTATAGGAAACTATGCAACTGGGGGGAAAAAAATTAAAGCTCAGAATTTAGAGGAAAGCCATTTCCATTTCCAACAGTGGTAGTCTCTTGGGGATCTTAGTCATCAAACTGTCATGTACTTGTAGCCTCTAGAATTATCTCATGTAGACAGATGGAACTTGATTATTATTTAGCTCCCCAACACGAGGCCTTTCAGTGCTGCAGTTTGCTCATTTGTGAAGTGGAATGCAAAAGCAGATTTTGTAAGGATGTAGTCTTCATGCTATGTCTGTGGTGCATGATGGCAATTGGAATACAATTAATAGTGTCACTGGGAAAGACAGAAGTGCTTAAATATATCTATTTAAAATAAGTAGGACAGTAACATTTGTCTCAGTTCATTTATATCAAACACTTGCCAGAGTAGGAAATAACAGGTAATTCTGCTGCCTGCTGGCCTCTGTTATAGAAATAGATTCTTCCAATTTCCTCATCAAACAAGAATGAACCCACCTCTGAATTTCACCCATGTTTGCTTTGTTTTCTCCATTTCCCCTGTTTTGTAGGTGGACAAAGCCTTAGACCTCTCCCTGAGTAAGGCAACTGTGGCAGAGAGCTGACAGAGATGTCTTTTGTAGCCCAGCCCTGAGGCCACATTTTAAGGATTGTCCTGTTTCTCTGAGTGTTCAAAGAGCAGCACTGTGAGGAAAAGTTTTATCATCAGCAATGTAGTGGGCTAAGCCCTACAGCTACCCATCTTCATCAGAATGCACTGAGATTTATGAAAGTTTCTGGAAATGCACCTGAAAGGTTCAACAGAAACTTAAACAAGTGTGAAAGACTCAGGGCTTGTCAGTGTAGGAACATTTATCATCTCTGTAATGGGAACAGCCCCTCCTAAGCCAAGAACTGCTGGCACTTGTCATTTCTGCTCAGGGCCAGTGATAAAAGGGATCCATGTGACCAGTGCTCCTGCTGAGCAGGTGAGAGAATACTCTGCATCATCATTCTTTAGAGGAAACATCTTGGACAATTTATGTTTGGAACTGC